AACAGACCAATGTACTAAGCAATGTACAAATGAATTAGTATATATCACATGTGTTATTACACATAATATAATTCATTTTTATGTTATCGTACATCACAGAATGTTGGAACCTCAGGATGTTTACATTTTAATATGCACCAGAAGGTTATAGTGAAATGATAATGTGAACTTGTGAAACTACTCCTTTAAATTGTTGTTATCAGATAAATGTGTTGATTCTTGAAAATGAGTTTTGATGTGCCTCATTGGCTTACCGGTAAACAGCTTAAGACAGCCACAAAGTTTACACATAACCAAACGTGACAAAGTGTGCTCGACACGACCCAAAGGACACACCATGATGGGTAATGCGGCTATCAACTATGCATGAATAATAATAATTTCTGACATGGACACTAAGTTGTCTCCTCCTTTAAGTGTACAGAAATTATTCTAATATGTCTTTCTAATTATCAAATTGTAAATTTTACTGTCATCAATTTCCTATTTTTTCATACAGACTCCTTTAAAAAGTGATTTAAAAACTTCATATTGTCATCAACGTTGCAGTTGTTATCAATATTGTCATTGTCATCACAGTCGATGTCACCTTTTTAATACTATATTATGTTCTTTGTCACATTTACAATAATTTGTAACATAACTATATCATTATTGTCATTTATATTGTGATCATTATTAACTCATCTGTTGCATTTTTCGTATGTCGTTTGTTAGGCTATTTCAATGATTGACATATTTATATTAAAAAGTTCTTTTACTAATATTCCAATTTCATAAAATTACAGTGTTAACTAATGATTAGAAAAAAAATATTATTTACTATTTATAAAGTTCCCCTCTCTCCCAAAAAGGTCTAGAGGACCATACAAAAATTAAAACAAACATAAAACATTATTTTTAGAAGCAAAAACACTTCATAATACACTACCCTGCTGTAATTCAACAAAATATTGAAGATAGGCAAAAAAAAATATACATATAAAAAAAATATAGATGAGATGACAAACGAGTTTAAAAAGGGCAATTTATTTCTGTGCTCTGGGAATGGACAGTTCCATTTCTCAAGAAGGGTGTTCCCATAATCACTAGTTTGTCTCCAGGTTTTTATAGTCAATTAGATTAATAATTCTGTGAATGTAGAATTATGTTATTGATTGGTGACCAGTTTCGGGAGCTGTCAATAATGTTAGTACTAGAAAATATTAAACCTAATTTATTACTTCCATTACAGACGACATTATCATTTTCAAGTATACCCTGTAATCCTAAAACATATTGGAATGCCTCACAGTTTTTAACATGATCAAATATAACACTATCAGATCGTGAAGAATGTTCTTTAAGTTTATTTATTAAGCACTTATCTTTCTTACCAATATAATCACTATTACAGCCTGGACATTTAAAATGATAGACAAGAGAACAGCAGATGAGTCTGCTATTTCATGACTATACATGAGTAATATAAAAGTTGATTGACTGAAAATGTAAATGAATAGTGATTTTTAGTGACTAGACAGTTTTTCATAGGACCAGGCCTAGCCTAGGCCTATAGTATTAGCATTTAGTAGTCCTAGGCCTAGGGCCCTTTGATCCCCGCACTTTCCCTTTAAGATTGTATGTATAGTAGATGCCCCATGAGCTCACTTTATTCATGATAATAGTAATTGACAATCTACTTTTGAGGGATGTATGTATTTTCATAGAAATTGAGAATGTACAGTATAGAACTAGTTAATGAATGTGTGCACAAATTCAAGTTGTATATAGTTAATATTCATGTAAAGCATTTGTGACAGTGGTGGCGGCATGTTTTGACTGATGAGAGTGGATGAAGGCCTCAAAAGGTCTATGTGAATGAAGTATTCATAATTATGCTCGCAGTGTGAATCTCTGACAGTGGACAGTAAAGGTCAGCAACCCATTTGACCATTGTTATGCTGATATGACAGATATATTATCTAGAATAATATTTGTAGTATTAAAATATTAGAATAAAATTAATTTTTCATATATAGACTGTATAGTATTTAAGAAAAGTGCATTGTCTGTTCAGTAAGGTATAGGATAAACTACAGAACAATAACTATATATATATAGAAAATTTAGCAAATTTTATCAACAGTAAGCACTTTAGCCCTATAGGGATCACAATGTTGAGAGTTCCATTCATTCATCCATATGCCAGGAGACACAAAACCTGTAGGCCTATTATACATATGAAGAATTAAATTAAAATGTAAAATCATCTAAATGTTAGTAGGTTTTTATTTTTTTTATTTTTCATTTATTTTTTATTTTATTTTTAAAAATTTTTTTTTTCTGGGAGCAGCCCATCTCTAAGATGACAGTGGTTCCGCTTTTGCTGCTCCCTGGCTCACCTGATTATTCTTTGTTCGTGAATTTCTGATTTTTTCTTTCTTTTTTTATAATTGTAATGTTTTATATTGTTAATTGTTTTTGCCAAAATGAATAAAATAAAAATAAATAAAATGAGCATTTGATGTATCTGTGGTAATTGAATGCATCCAGAAGAAAAATATAACCCAATTCTTTATGCTAAAATACAAAAAATATAAATTTATTCCATGGAGTATTCTAGAGTATAGTTTCTTAAAAAATTTCCACATAAAAAAAACATCTGTTAACAGTAAAATAACAGCTCTTTGTAGGGACAGATAACAGTATTTAATATAGTTTTATGATTATGGCGAACATCTACATTTCATAATTATGATTGAATAGATGTGTTGCATTATTTATAATCTCCCATGTAACAAAAACTTACAAAAATGTAGTATAGAGTGTGACACGAGAAGCATTGCATAGAAATGGATAAAGGTTGTCTGGTGTCAGTTTCAGGTTCAGAAGCTTACTGGCTGAGAAAAGGTTAGGAAAACAAATTAAAGCAAGGAGATAATGTAGAATGAAAGATGCGCTGCTTCGTGAAGACGCTCATTTTTCAGTTTTAAACAGTTATATTTACTTAGTGTTACCAGTATGTTCATGAATGAATTTTGAATTTTAACATAAATTATAAAGTAACCAATAATAGCAAACATGTAAGATCGTAAATAATATGGTATGTGAATGTGTGTGTGTGGCTTAAAAACCACAAAATTGCCATGTATATTTACACTCAAAGACTGACAGTGGTAACTTCATGCAAATTGGAATGTATGACATATAGTATTTTATATAATGACTGTTGTTTTTTTTAATAACAAGAGAAGTCTACTTTCTAAGGAATTTATTATATAGCTATAAAATTAGATCAGGATGAATGGTTGGTCCACTCAAGAACCTGTACTGCAGCGAAGCATGCATTCATTGTCCCAACCCATTCAAGAGCATTTTTGTGTAATGGGTGCTGCGATGCATGTAATCTTTCCCTAGCTACCCATCCATATCAGTTCTGTGCCCTGTTTTCTTGATTTTTTTTACTCAACACCTTATTGTAGGCTCAAACATAGGGTTTGCATTAGTAGTGAAAGTTAAGAAGTATTTATTGGTTTTGCCAACAATTGAACAATGAACCAAAGCATTATGTGGTTCAGCGCACACACATTACCTACCACACTATTCAGTCAATTGCCCACAAAAAGAAAAAAAAACAAAACAAGGTTTATTGGGATTGTGATTCGCATTCAACTCATTCAAATTTAGAGATATATCCAATAGTCCTACCTAAAAAAAACAAAAGTAAAAATAAAAACAAACTTTTTTAAAAGTAAGAATGAATTGCAGACTTATTATTACAATAAACACTTTTTTTAACAAATGTCAAGATTTTAATTTAAGTATTATAAAACTTTACTTTTTATTACAAATGGTTTCTTGCAGGGGTTTGTTAGTTTTAAAAGAAAATTGCTAGTGGAATTATTTTGAAATATTGTATAATTTGTAATATTCAAACAGTGTATTAAGGACTGAGAAAATTTTCTGATAGTAGTGTCTTTCTGTGGATTTATGAGAGTTAAAGAATTCTAGAGTGCTAGCTGAGACTCCAATATGTATTATGTGCTTCCAAAATGGCTGCATGCTTGCAAGTGAGTGCTGCCGTGTGGGGATTAACTAGCTGTCTCATACCTCAACGGTATTGTTTGAAGTTTTGTTAGTAGATCTGTGGCTGTACATTTGAAACAGCCATTTTGCTATTTGAATATATTCTCATAAATAAACAAATATATTGGAGCATTCCATTCTAGTTTTCATACTGTATGGGATTTTACTCATCATTGCCTGGTGTTGACCTTGTTATAAAATATCTGATGTCATTGAATTGGAAGTCATACTAGTACTAAAACTGTTTTTGTGTATTAAGTAGGTCTATATGTAGGCCTATATATAAAACTGATATATTTATACCTGATGAAGTTTTCATTGACTGCCAGTTAAAGTTAATGTCAGAATGCTGCCTCATCATTACCTGTTATATATTTATAAAGTTTTTGAAAAATTATATGATTGATTATTATATTTTATCTTATTTGGTTTAAAGATAATATACTGTATCTTTCTGTTGAGTATTTGGCAGCAATAGAAGAAATTAAGTTGAATTATATATGGCATTTGGATATCCTAAATATATTTTTCGTATTAGGCCAAATAAAATGAATTGTTAGTTTCACGCCCAGCATTTGAAATTCTTTTTTGGCGACTCAGGGTATTTACTATTTGCTTTTTACTATCCTATATACTAAAAAAAATGAATCTTTATAATGTATTTCTGTCATTTATGTTTCCACCTCTTCTTAGACTTGCCATAATTCTTTCAGGTAGTCTTTATTTTCATTGTCCATGAAAAAATGAATGTTTTTTTTAAAAATAGCATAGAATTAATTTTTTCATGAGGCTCCAAAATTTGATGAGGACAGGGACGTGAAACTAGTAATAAATTTTATTTGGCCTTTACTGTATTTACAACAAACAAATGGTATGAACATTTGGTTATTGTTTTGGATTATTACTATAGCTTGTATTGTTTTGTCTTTCAGACCAGTAGAATGGTGCTTTGTACTGAAAACTGACCACTATTTCCAAACTGATCTTTCCTTCAACATCTTCTTTTTGCTCTATTTTATTCTGAGAGTAAGTATAAAAAACATATGACAAAAGAAAGAAGAAAATAAATAACAAAAGGATTGAAGATGCTATATATATTATGTTGATGACATTGTTGATGATGCTATAAATAGTATGATATGTCATTATTGAAGATGTTAATAGTATGAATACTTGGCATTAAAAATGCTAGTATCATCATCTATTTAATCTAACAAACTTGATGATATTTTGTTATTTTTAAAAATAATAATATGAAATTTGTAATAAATATGTTGTTTTCATTCAAATAACATGGATAATATTAGTTACACTACTAGATAATTAGTAGATATATTTTTATTAACAGATTAATGATTCAGGTAGTATTCATTTGTTGAAAAATATCTAATATATTTTAAGTGCTTCTTGCATTTAATAACTATAAATACTACATATACGTATAATACATATGCAACTATTTTGTACATGTACATACTGTATATAACTATACCCACATATAACTATATACATACATACATATATATAACTATATATACGAGTGCAATATGATACAAAATATAATGAGTTGACGGTTCTAAAAATGTCACGATTAGATTTTATAGTATATTCACCTGTAGTACAAACAGAGAGCACTCCTATGATTAATTGAAACATAAGCTTTTAATGTATGCAGTGCACTTCTTCAATTAAAACTAAGCTTTACGCAGATTACAATTCATTGAGTTTGTTTGTTTTTTTGCTCTTTAAATTGGGGAGCCTATTCGGTACAATGCACTGTTCTCCCATAGGGCCCACCGCCACCTACATACAAAGCAACAGTATTAAAGTTTATTATTGACAAAAAAATAATTAAATTAACTAAAAAAAACAATGCCCTCTGGTGCCAAACTAAAATTGTAACAAGAATTTTAAAAATAATTGTAGGTTAACATTAACAGTACTGAAAGGTCCACTGATTAATCTCAGATAAGAAAGTATAATACATACTCCAAGTATTGAAATGGCAGGCCATCGTGTTGGGATTCAATATTTCAACATTAATTATGTCATCATCAGTGTAACAGTACTACAATGTTTATAAAATACTGCATTTAGCATTAACCAAAAAGTTATTAAAAGTTAATAAATAAAAATGTAAGTAAGATTACTATTCATTTAATTAATACAAGTTCAATTCAATTGAAATAATACAGATTTTTCTTAATTTAATCTGCTCAATATTTAGTTCTTCTATAGCAGAATCATTTTTTTTTTCAAGATTCATTACTACGTTTGGGGGACTATAGCATCCAGATGTACTGCTTCTAGTGTGAAAGGAAGAATACTGTGTGATTAAAGCTTGTGTTTTACTAATACCCTAGCTTCACATTGTGATTGGTTGTAGCAGTTGCAACACCCAATCGCACCTCAACAATAGTAGTCGATAGGTAATCCAGGGGTCCCAAAAGAACTCCATTCGCAGGAGATTTTGTCGGGAAACTTTGGCTGCCTGCAAATACAACCCACGTCGCGTTGCAGCCAATACTAAACTAATCATATCATCAAATACTTGACATTCAATGATCAAACACACAGTTACTTGCACTTGCTTTCATTTTTACTTACACAATGTAATTTAATACCATGAGATAGTAATTGTTATTGTCGTGATGGAATAATAGACAATAACTGGATTTGCGTCAGGAGAAAAATTACACCTATAATACCATGAGATTACGTAAATTCTGGAATCTACTACTCTGTACAGTAGGCATAGTCTAATCTTACATTATTCATTTATTTACACTTAGGCCTACATCAATATCATTAATTACATCAATTTACACTTTTCTGGCATCTGTTAGTTTAATATTGTATTCAATAGTAGTAGTAGTAGCTTCTTTGCCGCTGAGAGAAGAGCGGAATTTGGATGCAGTTCATGGCAAACAAGTCTGTAAACATAAATAAATAACGAAAATATCATCTCAAAATGTATGTAACCTAATTATTTTATTCTTGTTAAAATATCGATAGTCTTGTCTAGGTGTACATAGCTTGACTTCAAAAACCTTAACTGAGGTCTAGACCTAAGGAATTTTAAGGACGGTAGGCCTAGTCTAGGCCCTAGTACAAGAAAAAAAATGGCTCAAGGAGTTGGCCTGGCTATGCTTAGGCCTAGGTAGGGTAACGACGAGTGCAGGCCTCTACAACCATCCATTTCCAAGTCACAAAAATGAATACAGAACGTATGGTTTTTATCACAATCTCATAAAACTGTTTAAAAAGAAGTCAACATACCTTTAAATATTTATTTATTTATATATTTATTACAAATTCAACAATAAAGTCAAGAGGGAACCATGGGCCAAGGGCCCAACACAAAGTTGGAACCTCTTTATATAAAATAGAAACAATGTACAATATGTAAAATATCTTTCAACATCGGCCATTCCACCGTTCTTCACCGATATTACAGCATAACTAACAACATGGACCTCCATGTTTTCAGTATACTTTTTCCTGAGTTGAGTTTGTTGACATCGATGGTGCGCCACCAGTGGCGAACGTAATCTTGTGAATTAAAAGCGCATGAATTTTGCGTTTCTTCGCTGGTGCCATATTTTTACTTACTATTTTTGACTATCAATTAATAATTGTGTGATTATTTTCATGAAACAGCTCGATAAAGTTAACTTTATGCAAATAGTTAGCTGTAGGCCTGTTCTACGGATCAAAGGACGTGTTGTTTACAGGGCTGTTTAAATATCAAATCACACTGCTGGCATGGTCAGGCCGGGCGTCACAAGAATGGGCGCATAAACTTTTAATAAACAAAATGTATGTTGATTCCGTGTTTTCAGCAGGTAACGAATTTAATTGCAAATGCATTATAGGAGTGGAATAAACTTATTTGTGATTGTTTTTTAACATCATGAGTTATGTTTTTACCTAGGTCTAGGCTAAGCTGATATTCAAAATTAAATAACCTACTTAAATTTTCAAAAATTTACAGAATTTTTTTTATGCGGTAGAAAAACGTAAGCTTATGGTAGCGCGGTAGATCGTTGCTAAAGCGGTAGACTACCGCAAGTAGCGGTAGGCTTGGGACCTCTGGTAATCGATATCGCACTTGTTACAATGATTGGGTGCTACAATTTTATACTCCGGATTACCACAGAATCCGGTCATAACAAATTTCACATGCACTGATTAGCTGCGCACAGTCAGCATAGACCTACACCTGAAGCCTAGTACCATTTGACATCCCTTTCCAATATAAAGTATTTTTGTGTCTGATTTGGTCTGAATGCACTCGGGAGTAATCAGTTTTGGAATTATTCATTCATTCATTTATAGGAATCTACTTCAGTATACATTAAAATACAATAATAGTAAACTAATGAAGAAGGCATTTCCAAAAAAAAACAAAAGCTTGTGTGCATGCCTAAACAGTGAATACAAAGAAAATAGAGAGGGAAAACTGACAACAAAACATAAATAGGGACAATGAAGACAAGAAACTGATTGTCATTCACAATTCTAATAGAATAAATTTAAGTATTTATTTAATTAATTTGAATATATTGATAAAAGATGATATTAATTTTAGAAAAGCTTTTATTTGATGCTGATTTCTTGATATTTACATGTAAGTTATTCCAGAGTTTTGGTCCACTGAATCTATTGTGTTGAAAGAAGATTTTTTTATGCTGGGGAATATGGAAGTCAATTATAGTTCTAGTAGTGTAATTATAGAAGTAGAAATTTGGATGAAGCAGATTACAAAACTTGGTTGATTTAGACATTTTTTTGACAAGTAGAGAAAATTACATTGTGGATTAATATTAATGTCATGAAATTTCAAATAAAAAAGTATTCCATTGTGGTTGGGACATTCCATTTGGTTGGTGATTATATTATGTAACAGGGAAGCAGTGGTAGGTGTAATTCTAGTAGGGTGATGTATAAGGAACATATAAAAATAGCTAAAAAGGGAATGTATAAAGTGAAGAGCATGATTATTTGTATTATATTTAAGGATATCAAAGTTGAAATCACCAAGTAGGAAACAGTTTGTTTCTCTTTAGTGAGTTTGCTAAGGACCTGCTTAATTTTGTCTAGGAAAGCATTCTAATGAAGGGCCCTGTAAATGGTATCAATGACAATATTTTTTTGATGATTTTTGTTTAATTTCAATGCAAAGAGAGTCACAAAAGGATTAATCAATTGCCAAATATCTTACTTTTAAAGACAGTTATTTTCGGATAAACATCGCTACACCACCAATGGCTTTTAACTTCTATGATTGAAAATGAAATGATAATTAGGATTCTGGATTAGTGGGCTCTCATGTTTTAACCAGGTTTCTGAGGTAGCAATCAAGTAAAATTTAAAATGTAAGGAATTTAGTGAAATGTTTATGAAATCAAAATTGCAATGGAGGCTTCTAGAATTAAAATGAATAGTAGAAAAACTTTTTTCGTTTTTTCAATATTTCTGAAGTGTTTGGTAAAATCATTTGGAAAAAAATATTTTGAAATGAAGTAATCATTAAAAAAAAAATTGAAGGTCTGGTTCAATATCTTTATTGAGATAATCATACATTGAAAATGGGTTAAATGTTAGGTCAGATAGACAGTCAGTTTCATTGTGGGAGCAATTTACGAAGGAAAAACAATTGACACAAACAGGAGGTGATCAGTAATAGTATGCAAATTTAAATGTACAGTCTAAAGGCAAATAGAAAAATTTATAAGATTATCACTCCTGCCCGCGTCAAAAATAAACAGCTACTATGTATAATCTTAAATTTATAAGATTCTCCTGACGCAAATCAGGAGAAATGTTTCTCCTGACGCAAATCCAGTTATTGTCTATTATTCCATCACGACAATAACAATTACTATCAACACTGCAGTACCCGCTGCTTACTTGGACTCGAATTCAACCCTGGCCA